ATCTTGGTTTTAGCATTTGCTACGTCACTACATATGCGTCACAAGAGTACACATATTATGACTTAGCCTACTAGTAGGATATCTGGAGCATGCGTGCAGCTGGTCATGGTTCTTTTCACTTTCCTTGCAAAAATGAACGTTTTGTAAATCCAATGCTCGTCCATTGTGTTCGGAGTGAGACCTTATCGATAAGCATTTCCCTGCGTATCTTTTTCTAGGTCCTTGCTAACTGTGCACACAGGCTGAAAGCTACCCCGGAAACTTACCGTTCTGTAAGCATTGCGTTGTACCGGCTGGTTCACACGGGCACATCACGCACTGGTCAAGCGAGCCATCCAGACTGAAGAAGTTCTCCAGACACGTGTCGCACAGCTGGCCAGTCACGCCTGGCTTGCACGCGCACGCGCCCGTCTCCGCGTCACACGACTCCGAGCCATCCACGTTGCACGGACACTCGGTGCAAGTGCTCAGGTTTCCGGGCGTGCGGGTGAAGTGATTGACGGCACACTCCGTGCACAAGTCACCCACGACGTTCTGGTGACAGACGCACTCTCCGTTGGAGGAATTGCACTGGCGTGTGCCCGGAGTGTTGCATGCACACGGCGCGCAGCTGCCGATGGTCGGGTTCTCGAATGTGTCCTGTACGCAGCGTGTGCAACGGGTGCCCTCAACCCCAGGCAAGCACTCGCACACTCCGGTAGCGCTGCACGACGACGAGCCCAGCCGCTCGCAATCGCACTCCAAACAGGCCGTGCCGTCGGCGTTGACGAACTGAAACCCGGGGCACGCGAGCGCCGTAGTTGGGGCGACGGTCGTCGCGGGAGATTGCGTCGTTGTTGGCAACGCAGTAACCTCCGGCGGAGTGGTGGCGGGCGGTGCGGCTGTAGTTTGCGTTAGTTCAGTTGTTTCTGGCTGTGTGCCAGCCGGAGTGGAGGCCGTGGTATTGGTTGGCGGCAGTGCAGTCGTCTGATTCCCGACAGTCGTTACAGTCACGGCCACTGTGGTTGCGTTCATGCTGGTCGCATTCGGGCTGGCTGTCGCCGGCGACGGCGGCGGAGCCTCTGTTGTTGGTCCGACGGTGGCATTCGCTCCAGCGGGTGCTGTACTCGCCGTGGGAGTTTCCATTGGCTGTGTTGTGTTAGCCAGTGTTGTGCTGGCCTGAGTTGGCGCCGGCGTAGATTCCGCAGGGACTGGGAAAGTAGCGTTAGCTGCTTCCGTTGCTGCAGCTGGTGAAGTTGCAGCTTCTGTCGTGCCAGCCGGCGTGGTGGGTTCTTCTTGCTGCTGCGTAGTCGTCTGAGCAGGAGGGATGGCAGTTGTCGCCGGTGGTACCGTTGCGGGAGCTGTTGTCGGCGGAGGTGTCGTTGCCGCTGGTGTTGTGATTGGCTGGACAGTTGTTGGCTCTGTGACGTCTCCGCTGCCGTCTTCGGTTGTTGCTGCAGGTGTGCTGACGTCTCCACTGCCGTCTTCGGTCGTTGCTGCAGGTGTGCTGACGTCCACAGTCGTCGGACCAGCAGTGGTTTGCCGCACGGGGGTGGTGGTGGTGGTGATGATGACCTGCGGTGTGGTCTGCACTGCTACCTGTGTGGTTGCCATGGCAGTAGTTGCCATAGGCATTGTCGCCGGCGCGGTGGTGTCGGGCTGAGTTGTCGGCTGAGCTGCCGTCGTTGTCATGGCGTCGCTGGTTACTGCAATGGTAGTCGGCGCCAGAGTCATGGGCGCAGTGGTAGGAGCAGCTGTCGTTGGTGCAGCTGTTGTCTCTGCTCCGGTTGTCGGCAGTACTGTGACTGGCGGCGTTGTAGCTGACTCTGTCGTGGCTGACAACGTTGTGGCTGGTGTGGTTGTTGGCTCTGTGGTTGTGGCTGGTGGTGTTGTTGGCTCTGTGGTTGTGGCTGGTGGTGTTGTTGGTTGTGTAGTTGTGGCTGGTGGCGTGGTTGGTTGCGTAGTTGTGGCTGGTAGCGTTGTTGGCTGAGCAGTGGTGACCAACAGCGTTGTGGTGGCTGCGTCTGTGGGGGGAGATGTGGTCGCATCTCCTTCTCCGTCCGTAGCACCACTTCCATCCGCCGATGCAGTAGTGACGGGCGGCGGTGTGGTTTCCGCTGGTGTAGTTTGCTCAGGTGGTGATGTCGTTGCCTGCTGTGTAGTCGCCGCAGCCGGAGTGGCTTGTGGAGTTGTTCCCTGGGCAGTGGTTGCCGCCGGTGTTGTGATGGTGTCTGTACTTGTTGCCATCACAACCGTTGTTGCCAGTGGTTGGGTAGTCACACCGGGCGTCTGGGTGGTAGTGGCGGCTGCCTCCGTCGTCTCCACCACTTGTACCGTTGTCGTGGCAATCGGCTCGCCGGTGGTCGGTGCCTGTGTCGTCAGCGCAGGGGTAGTCGTTGGCACAGCATTCGTAGTCATGACAACTTGCGTCGCTGCCAGGGGAGTTGCTGTTGCAGTCTCGCCACTGGCAGATCCGTCTACAGCATCAGTTGCCACTGACGTCATTACTGCAGCTGTAGTCGCAGCTGCCGTAGTGGCAGCTTCGGTAATAAGCACGCTGGTTGTCTCCTCAGCCGGAATGGCAGTCGTGGCGACGGGAGTTGGCGTGGGGCTCGTGCTGACTACAGTTTCGACAGCCGGTGTTGTCAGTGCCTGTGACGACTGAGTTGTTGGATTGGCCGTTATCTCGAACGGTGTCGATGCACCGAGTGTAGTCTGTCCGGGACTGGTGACGAACTCGGTTGGCTGCTGAGACGCAGTGGTCGTGGGAGCAATGCTCGCCAAACCCTGAGTAGGCTGCTCGGTGGTAAAGACGACGCTTGTTATTGCCGGTTGCAGGGTGGTGAGACCGGGGGCTGTTGTTGGGGTTTCGCTTGTGGATGCGCCGCCAAATCCGAAATCAGTAGTTGATGGCACAAAACTCGTGGGTACTATTGTTGTCGCAAACGCTGTCGGCTGTGTGGCAGGTCTGTCGTCTGAGCTGGTCACAAACGCGACATTCGTTGCCAAGTCAGTGTCGGTTGCCGCGGTGGTTGGACCTGGTCCAGTCGTGGTCTCTATAGTGACAACAGCTGAGCTTGGCGCGACCGTCTGGAGTACGGTGGTCAGTGCATCGGACGGCGTTGCCGACTGAGTTGGCTGTGGAGTTGCAAGGCTCGCGGGGCTGGAGGCACTGGGCTCCACGACGACGCCACTGCTGTTGTTGCCACTGCCGGACGCGTCCATATCGCCTCCGCTGGCATCCGCCGCTGAGCCCGATGGGAACGGCGGAGGCGGTGGCGGAGGCGGTGATGAACTTGTGCTCTGAACGGGAGGCGACACATCGGTCATGGACACCGGGGGGAATGGCGGCGGAGGCGTAATAATGGGAACTGTCGGGGAAATGACCAACGGCGGTGTGGTCGCTGATACGGGTGGGACCGATGACGACGATGATGGCATGTCAAGCATTGACGATGGGAAAACGGGAGGAGGCGGTGGCGGAAAACTCGCCGTCAGCCCCTCGCTGGGTGTTGTTGACGTCGGTGGTGGTGTTTGCGATGGAATGGCTGTCGTCGGTGTGTAGCACAGACCGGAAGTGCAGAGCGGTGGTGATGTGATGGGAGGCGGCGGGGGAATCGTAGGCAACGCAGTCCCGGGCGGCTGTAGTGTGCTCGGTGATGGTGGAGGTGCCGAGGCAAAAGACGGCGATGCGGGCAAAGGTGTGGGTGCTGGTGGCGGCGGTGCTGTTGTTGGAAATGCCGTGCTCTGAGACAACATCGGTGGTGGTGTTGGACTAGCACCAGCTGTACACGTAGACACACACACACACACACATACACACACACACATACACACACACACATACACACACACACACACACATACGCGCACACACACACACACGTACACACATACACACACACACATACACACATACACACACACACACACACACACACACACATACACACACACACACACATACACACACACACACACACACACATACACACACACACACACACACACACACACACACACAGCAAAAGCTATTACACATACAATGCTGAATGAACTGTCAGCATGAGCACCCTGGGCAAAGGCATACCGCATGCGGAGTATGAGCCGCACTGGAATATAAGCCGCAACCAGTTTTTTTGTCACGACATAAAGACTACTACCATTTTCACGGTTCATTTGACCAGCGTTGTATAAGCTGCACTGACTTTTTTTAGGGAATTACGATTACGTATTTACTATTTTAGCATACTGTGAGATCGAAACTTCGAAAGTAAAATTTTTGAAGGAGCCGTCAACATGCTATACATGTATATACCAGTAATTTGAACTTGTATACATTCTATTATACAGTAAGCTATATGTACATGCAAAAAAGGACAGACCCCCCCACACACACACACACATTCATGTACATTGTACAGTACCTCAGCTACATGTATGTGTAAAAGGACAGATTCCCCCCCCCCCCCCCATTGATGTACCGGTTATACTGAGTTCCGCCATACCAGTTTGCCGGAAACACCTAATCCTTAGGCGCACTCAAACACGGTGCTCTGAAACCTGAAGGGTTTTAGTTTCAAACCCGAAGGGTTTCGGGGTATGACTTTCTAATTCAACACATCGCCCACGGCACACAGTTGATACATGTGTATGTCTTACATACTGCACCCACAGCCTAAGGGCCCGCAACAGTGTATACACGTGTCACTGGACCCATAGGGCCATACTGTATAAGTAGACATATTCGTCTGGAATTTAATTTCGTCTTTTTCGTCCAGGAAGTTTTTGGACTAAATTAAATGCCGGACTAATGTCGATTTGTCCAGCTTTTCTATGCAATCTTATGATCCATGGACGAAATTTTCAACCGGACGAACTCCCTTTCTTTGGAGTTGGACGAAATTAACTGACCGACGAAATTTTCTGCCTCTGCAGTAGCTAAGGGCCTGCACATGGTCTCAGTGCCGAAGATTTTACCCTAATATTACTTCAAAGTAGAATCCGAAAATTTACTCCAATCCAGCCAGGAATGAGGTTTCAATCGGCAAGCCCGTGCATAGATTGATAGCTAGCAAACTGCATACGTTTCGCTCAATTTATACGGTAAGAGTGGGTGACGTCACATGACCACGGCACCGCTAAGAACAGTGTTCCATTCTTTAGGGGCCGTCCGTAAATACCGAAGTTTTTTCACAAGATAAATTACTTTAGTTCAGACCCAACCCCTCCCTCCCTCCCCCTCAGAACGTAAAAAATAATGACAATACATGCATATACATTTATACAACAAAAGTTGCAAGTGTGTCACTTCACCTACGGCCATGTACATGTATCAATGTTTTCTGAAACGAATTTGGTCAACAACCCTCCCACCCCATAATGAAATGATTTCGTTTCGTGATGAAAAAAAGTTTGATATTGATGGACGACCCCTTGCGCTTCTCGGTCTGTTCCTCTTCCGGAAAATCTCTATGTATCGTTGAGTCTGCTACTTAGCAATGCTGTGATGATGCACTGAGTGACTGCCACTGCCACCCACGCTTACATGATACATGCGACCGCTCTGAAATGAATGCCGCCAAGCTGCCACTTCGTGAATGCTGCGTGCTCACTTGACTACTGAAATTGGAACTGAAGAACTATTGGCTAGTTGTACACTGCTGGGTATCAGCAGGAAATGAGTAAGTGAACGCTTGCCAGTGTCTAGAAATGAATAGCAAGTGTGACGTCAGGTCACTGGCCGTGAACTGTTTGCCTGGCAGTAATCACCGAGCTGTTTTCTGGTTAGTGCTCGCCAGGCTACATGCGCTCCCGGGGCAAATTACCAATGTGTCCTCGTCGAGGCAGTAACTCAAGGCACGATGACCGAGCGCTCATGCAAAAATTTTCAATAGACCAGGACTGCCATAGCTGCAGACCGCTCAATGATGAAAGCAGACGACTGTGCACGCCGATACATAGAGAGGATGGCATTCACTGACCGCATAATAGCCTAGGAATGCTAAATGAAAGCAACACGTTCGTCAGCATAACGTATTCGGACATGCCCAATGCACTGATTAATTAAGTAAGTGCTTGGGCCGGAAGCAACTTGCTGGAATACGCTAATGTGCCCCATAAGCCCTGCGACTATCAATTGCCATGGGCAGGCAGCTCGGTACGCCCACACTGTTCCAGTGGCGTCCGCACAAACCCTGAGAATACAATACTTTGGCCGGACGACGTGTTACCCTATATCCTGCTCGTTTGTCACGCAAGTGTACACACACTGATGGTGTATGCTCATTCTTTGCAAGCCCAGTCACCATTCTGGAAATACATACATGGTGCACTTCACATTAGCACTTGTGGTCTCACCCTCTTGAGTCTTGGGATTTGCTCGACACCAATAAAACATCCAACGCTCCAAGAAACTATGCTGCTGAAGCTTTTAATGGCAGACTGTAAGTATTCGCTGCTGGAGGTGTCTGGAGAAGCCTCGCACATGGTGGACACCCTCGAAAATGACAAGCAATTGTATGTTTCTGTTTTGCACACAGGCACTTGTTCATGTGCAGACTATCTCAAATGCCAGAACGCAGGCTTTCTACGCGCAGTTCACTCCATCAAAAACGCCACCAACGCAGGAGACTGTGCGAGACTTTGAAACGAAGTAAGGCCAGCCCAAGGACTGACTGGAACAGTGCATATGGCCAACAACCCAGGAGACTGTGCGAGACTTTGAAACGAAGTAAGGCCAGCCCAAGGACTGACTGGAACAGTGCATATGGCCAACAACCCAGGAGACTGTGCGAGACTTTGAAACGAAGTAAGGCCAGCCCAAGGACTGACTGGAACAGTGCATATGGCCAACAACCCAGGAGACTGTGCGAGACTTTGAAACGAAGTAAGGCCAGCCCAAGGCCTGACTGGAACAGTGCATATGGCCAACAAGCCTGAACCAATCCAAACAAGTGGCTCGAGAACAACGGATGTCCTGCAAGAGCTGTTTCAGAGGAACGTGACACTGGTATCTGTACGAATGCTCCCCCAAGTCCAGACAAGAAAATTGGAAAATTACAAGCGGAAAAATGCACCCAACTAATTTTTCCATTGCCCAGCTGAGGCAGTTAAAAGGAGAGAACGCACGCCGACGGCGGACACAGCAATACTCCCTTGCGTCTGACTCCGCAGCAGTCAAAACAGCCTGCGGGAACACATTGTCCAAAATCATGCAGGCCTGGAGCGGTTCCTACATGATACACCTGTAGTTGCTGGACATGCAGGCTCACTCTACATGTAAGTCTACAAAATAAATACTCTTAGAAACTGCGAAAAAAATACTTCTGCCAAATAATGCAACACCTGCAAACTCATCATAAAACTCGTCCACAAATGTGCTAGCTCTTTCCTATTTGCATTACAACACTGAACACTGCAAACTAATACATAATTGTATGACGACCGCACCATAGCTCAGTGGTACGGGATCGCTGGCCATAGCGAGGGTCCCTGGTTCGAGTCTTGATGGTGACAGTCCATTTTTTTATTCAGACTTTCCCATTTTTACTACATCCTCAAACCATCACAACCATGTGCTCTTAGCCGAACCAATGCACGAAACATAAACGCACCAGCACAGCAAGGGCACTTCGGACTTCCGTCGAGAGATAAGTTGTATGCCTCCAAACAGCTGTTTCGCTCCTTTGAGTTCATCAGAATCCTGTCATATCAGGACTGTTTCCACTGCACCAAGGGTATCCGGCATTATCGACGTCTCACATATCGATAATTTTCAAAACGAAACTCTCCTCGACTCGCCCATCCATAAACGAAACTTTCTTTTCGTGTAAAATATCGATAATAATTATGGACTGCCCCTAAGGGCGTCCCGTTACGGCGGGTTTTACTGTATCTACCTTGGATATGCATTACCTGCACGGCTATAGTTATAAAGTACAAAATTAGTGCGACCCTGGGGGGGGGGGGGGGTATGTATCGTTGAATTCATTCCCCTGCAGCAGGAAAAATGAATGATCAATGCCCCCACTGCAGTACACATAGCAGCACATCAGTCTTAGCTCATTGATGATGTGCTAGTATACCGGTAGTAGTAGTAGTAGGACACTTTATTGCTATGTGATACCTATTGAAGGCAGCCGGAAACCCCACACGTGATCAGAACCCTATCAAGACTTCCTCTGTTGGTCTTCAAACACATCTGTGCGCGTGCATGTCTGCAGGTGGTTCACATTTCTGGGACTGTGATAACACAATGGCCATGTACCATAATCCATGTGTAAGTATTACTTGAGGCACGGGTCAAATGGGTTGGTTAGTTCATTGCTGGACAAGTTTGTTCCTATTTTGCCCAGCCGTGTCCCAAACATTCACAGTGGGGAAGAGTGTGTCGCTGCTTCCTCCCAACTATAGACCAAGTATTGCACTTCTCAGCCATCATTATTTCCGCTTCGGGAACACAGTATTTAAGTTTGATAGAGCATAATTCCCCTGGCATAGACAAAATCACATACTGCATTTTCACAAATTGTCGGTGTACTTTGCTTTCGGTGCGTCCGTTTCATACCTAAATTTTCAATACACCAAACAAACACTAACACACATAGTCCAAGAGGGAACTGCTACTCTGTACCTACATTTTTCTGTTCACCTAACATGGCCTTTTGCCCTCATACCGAAAATATTGAGCACCTAACATTTCTGAAATCAGATAGTATTCAACCCTGTTAGCGCTAAGGACAGGCTATCACTACTATAAAGATGGTGATGGTGCCACATTCAAAATTGCATTGGACAGGGTTAGAATAATATGCGTCTCAAAACGGAGAACTCCCGGCCGCAAAGAATCACACACGGTCACACAAGGTACTTGGGTGAAGCATTCGCCTTTCCCTCACTGCCCCCCCCCCCCCCCCCCCCCCGTGTCCGCAGTAAAGCTAGGCGATTCCTGACTGCACAGTCATTACATGTACATGTACACCGTCATGGTCCTACTCAGGCATGCTACTTCGTTGCGGACCAGCGCCACCGACACTTTCATCCCTGATTATTTCCATCCTTTCTTGTAGGTCGACACGCATGAACGCAGTTAAGAGGAGCCCAAGACCAAGCACTATTTTCTGAGTGAAGTCACCAGCCCACCTACTAATTTCATTGTTATCATTATGCCTGTGGCTTAGGCTTTGCTCCTATCAATACAGTATTCGAGTTCAAGAAGCCATCAAAATGTTCCTTGATCCCTTCACAAGATCCCACGTCTGCGGTCCCTTCATGCACGACAGCGCCGCACATACCCGCAGCGATTCGACGAACAAAAACGAAAAACATATCCGACCTCAAACGTCCGATGTTTGCACAACGTCATGGGTTTTGTCGCTTCAGCGACTGATATGGTGAGCGACGAAGATTGAGATTCCTGAAGTTATTTTCTTTTTTCAGCCTCGGCTGCTTCCTTTATATCAGTATCACGCATCAGTGATCAGCGATTCCGGGAGGGGAGAATCGCCTGCGCAGCATGCAAGCTGCCACGAGAGGCAATGGTGGCATTGAACCACTCAAGTGAAAATCAAGTGCAACACTGTCTACGACTAACCGTCCTAACGAGGCTTCACACCAAGATGACAATAGCGGACACAGTGCGGCAGGGAACAGCCAGTTAGAGGGGTGATATTCTGCTCGACTCGACAATTTCTACAACACCTCATGACAAACTAACATTTCTACAACTACCAAGACCACAGCAGCGACCTACAGCTAGCAGCGACCTACCTGCACTTTCTTGCGCTCCACACCCGTGCATAAGGCAGATGGTCAGCAGGAAACATCGCTCAATCCAGTCAACAGCGGCCATAATCCACAAGCAGCTGAGACCTCCTCAGCAGAGGTCAAGTAGGTGCTTCACGGCCGGCGACGAGAGATCACCGAATAACAGAATTCTATGCCGGGACGTGGAACGGTGGGCACTTCCCACCGAATCAGGCCGGCTGGTGGCTCTCCGGCGACTTCCGACAGGTCTAGAAACTAAAGATTTGACCAAAAGGATGCAGATACCGCTTCTTGTTTTGGTCTCGGAGGCAGAAACAACGCTGCGAGTATCTCCTGAACGTCTATAGACTAGTAATTGTATTGAGAATGATGTAGAGACTTAGGTCGTTAGGAACGGAACTCCTCAACTCTGGACTCCACTTTCGAGTGTCGAACGAATAGAAGACGGCAGAGCAAGTTACGCCGTGTGCGTCCGCTCACTTCTGGAGAGGAGATGTCGCGGTGCGGTGCAGTCCCTGCATGCACGAGCCAGGAAACTCACTATCAGTTCTGTGTTTGGTTGAACTCACTGGCGGAGTGGCGACAACTCGTTGTGACAAGGGTTGACCTCTCTTGCATTTGTCAGCGTACTGCCGAAATACAGTGTTGGCATTTCAAGTGATTGCAGACTGCCCGTGCACGTCGTTGTGGGATTTCGTTAGTTCCAGTTTAGTGTGACGCATTTTCCCATACGCAGCTATGCGGAGTTTGGGTGCCCGACGGATCGGAAGCGAGAAAGTGAAGCGCCTCATGCTCAGCTCAGCCGGTACGCGGTGTAGAGTTTCCTCCGATCGTGGAATGCTACTTCTGAAGCCTAAAATTCTGAAATACGGACATCGGGGCATGTATCTGGGCCTGGTCTGGAGCTACAGCGCGATGTAGATTTAGTATACATGTACATGACATTGTACATCATGCCGGCGTGCAGCAGATTATTATGAGCAGGGAATCGTTTTACAGCTGTACATCCTGCTTTGAGCTGATGTCAGTGATGAAAACGACTGCAGTCGACTCGCTGATATCGTGGCGCGAGTGTGGATCCACTGCTCTGCACGGCCACATGCTATCACAGGCGCCTAGGCAATGGTGAAGAGCATGCATGATGCATGGTAGATCCACGCATGGCCGGCCCTGCATGAAGTCCGATCTGAGTGGGTGTTACAAAAAATATCATGCTGGCGAAACCGCAAAAGCGGTATCAATCTTATGATTGTACTAAAAAGGGCTAGTTTCCCCTTTTGCATGACTGACAGTCTATGTGTGATGAGACTGATTTGATGACGGCGTGAATCAGTCATGGCTTGTTTGTCGCGCGCAGCGCGCACGCTATTCCTGAATCCATGTCACGTGTGCCAGTAGGCAACATAACAACGTGATGTAGATACATGTACATGACATACTCGACGTCTCGTACTCGTACTCGTAGGATCCTAGCCTTCCTAGGAGGAAGAGGGGAGGTCAAGGAAGGTTTTCTTTTCATGATGAATGATGCCCAGACAATGATTGGTGACCTTTGCCTAGCGCCTTGGCTTTGTGAATGTTTTGTTGAGCACTGGTAACCCATGCCATGGTGCTGCTGTTGGTGTAGCTTCGTGTGGAACGCGAAACATACACGACAGGCACATGCACAGGCATTACTTGACACAATCAGCACTGTAATAGGAAAATCGAAATAGAGATGTGAAAAACAAATACTAGTAGATGGAGCAGCAATGCCATACAATGTCCAAAAACTCAAGAATTCATTATGGTGAGACAATGTGTCGGTATAATGTCTGTGAAGTACCATTCCGCTTAGGCTAGGCAGCTCTTAGCCGGCGCAGAGTCGTGAAGTTCATCCTGTTGCGGCGGTACGATAATCTCGAACCACGAAGGCAGACTGACAGCCTGCAGCGGAGGTGACCCATGATGACTGATGGCCAATAGGTGAAGGTCGACGTTCTTTTCCGCAATCAGGCATGCTAGTACTAGTGTCTCCAGGAACATTGAACACTCTCTGCCAATCATGCCCGAGGAAGAGAAAACTAGTAGTAGGAGTAAATGTACCCCTGTCCACTGCTGTCACCCGCTCTCCGTACGGGCGCTTCTTCATCTTTTCAAGTTTTCATGGGTTAGGAGCAGGCTGATGACTTCCCGACGCGACAGCAAGCTTGCCTTTGGCTGTGTCACCCGGATATCAAAAAAGGCGTCCTGCTGTCTCGTCCAGAAGCCACCAGCCCGGATGTCCAGGCGGGCCCCTGCCGAGCGGTTGGCTGTCCTGTCTTGGAAGTTGGAGCCGTTCACCATCATAATGCATTAATGGCAGTGCCAGTAGAGGCGGTTCTACATGACTACGTATACGTGTACTGTACATGTACCTCAACATCCCAGACCACTTCACGCATCACGTCAGGTGACCAGTCCTGGAGATGTCCTAGATAGGACATCACGGAACCCAGCATGCCCCAGCATACATACTATGCTGTTCCCATAGTAATCGTGACACGTGACTCAAAACTTTGTGTCGCGGCCGAGGAAGATGAACATGTCTCACTCAAAACAAACGCAACGAAGGCCTTTCGTCTCAAAAGTAATTTATTAGTTGTCGTTCTCCTGGCGGCTTGCCTCAAGCGAGTCGAGATTCGTATCTTGCCTCTTGCCTTCACGAATTTTATTTTCCTCGATGTGGAGTACGCCTGGACAAAGGAACTGGCAAGCGAATCGTTTTGGTCGCATTGAAAATTGCAAGTGCACAAGAGGGTTGGCGAAGCAATTAATTTGTGTTCGCACTTTCAGCAGAGCAGTAGCTGCTGCTGCGATAAAGTTTTTACTTTCGCCACTGGTTTCAGGCAGCAGAAGGATCTGGCTGAAAGCGATGGCGATACGTCCATGACCACCACGTCCTGGGTTGATATCCAAGAAAGACCGTCCAAGGTCCAGTTTTAGCCAAGAGCTGTCGTATCCAAGAAATCAAAAACGCCAACACGGCAACAGCAAGCTTTGGCCAAATAATATCTTCCAGGCAGTGATTTAGGGGCCGTCCGTAAATATCGATGTTTTTTTAGAGACGATATTGGTGCTTCTCTCCCTTGACCCCCCCCTCCCCCCAGAAGACGCACATGTACATCTAGATCATGGAATCAATATTTTTGGATGCTCATTTTTTCAAATCCTTGTTCAGACAGTGAAGACTGGAAACTCTTGTGGAGTTCGTCCGTGTTTGTTCGCACTGCCTCTACGTCTTGAAAAAGGTCTCCTGCAGGCATCGTTCGGCCGATTTCCACAATCAATAGCTCATACTTTTGCTCTTGAAATTCGCCATGGAGGAACAGCTTCCAATTTTTGATCTTGTTCTTATGTCGCGAGTTTTAGCTCCGCGAACGGAAGCTGGTTTCACATTTCTTGTATAGCCATTTAGACGTCCGCGTGCAGGGATCGGCGAAACTTCAGATATTTACATCGATATTTTTCTGATGCTCTAAAAGACGCACATGGCTCAAACCCCCTCCCCCCCAGACGCACCAATATCGTCTCTAAAAAAACATCGATATTTACGGACGGCCCCTTACGGGCCTAGCGCCTGCTGCCTCGTCTTCCTCCTCTGCATGGCCAGGTTTGGGGCGAAATGAACGCACGGGGCGTGAAGAAACATTCCACAAAACATTCAAATAATTAGAAGCAATCGTTTCCGAAGAAGCGCCGCGTGGCTACGAGAAACCCCACATGAAATCCCCAAACGAAAACGGCCATTCGGTCGGGTATTCGATGGCGAATCGAATATACACTACCTCAATCCCCGCCGATGTCTGATATTCTCCGCCTGTTCCCTCAAACTTGACCAATTCGGAAAGAAATCCATCGCCATTACGATCGTGCATCCTCCACATACATTCAGAAATGCTCACGCATCACTTCTTTTCATCGCGTGTGCGCGACCGACGCTTCCATGACAACTCTGGGACAGGTAACCAATCAGACTCATTCAGAGTGCGATGTCCTAGATAGGACATCTCCCCGACTGGTGACGTCAGCCAACAAATCCCGGATCTCGTTGTGGCGTGCCATGGGGTGTACCGGTAGCCTCCTCTGCCGGACACATACATGTCATCGCATGGTCGATTGTCATTGCAGCATCACATACACAAGGCATCACAATTCACATACACAAGGCATCACATACACAAGGCATCACATACACAAGGCATTACATACTACATTGTACTACTACTGTAGTAGCAGACATATTCGTCTGGAAGTATTTCGTCTTTTTCGTCCAAGAAGCATTTGGACTAAATGTAATGCCGGACTAATGTCAATTTGTCCAGCTTATCATTACACTCTTATGATCTATGGACGAAATTTACAACCAGACGAACTCCCTTTCTTTGGAGTTGGACGAAATTATTGACCGACGAAATTCTCTGCCTTTAATAGTAGGTCATTGCACTGCTACTACCGGTAGTAGTATGACGTTGTACTTTGTAGTGTAAAATGGTGTAAGCCTGTCAAGGCGACCACTCTGATATAGGGGAACCAGCACCTGCCCTTGATCAGAAATTGATAGACTAGGCGCTAGGCTAGAGGACCACTACAACTATGGCAAGGGATGCTATTTCCTGTATAATTATGTACATGATTGTATACTACTACTACATGTAGTAGTAGTCATTGTACATGTACCTGAACTGGGCTCAGGCTGTTACTGTATGAAGGATGTGGTGTGGAGCTAGCAACAACAATCTCTGATGAACGTCTGCAGACTGGAGACTGGCGGATGATGCCGGCAGAAATATCGGCAGAAAACGGCATCACAGACGCCTGACGAGTCGGAGAGAGCAGAATTTGTCATAACTGACGCTTGAAAAAGCAGAATACCTGACCGTAGTCCGAAGACTGCTAACTTCAAGAATCAAGGCTTTCCCTTGCTCTCAGCAATCCTGGGTACTTTTAGCACTACAGCCCTACGCTTGCGGCAGAGATCCTTGCAGATGTGACTAAAGGCAAGGAGCCATATGACTCTATACTCGCTCATCCCAAGATCAAAGTATTCCTGAGGCCAGGCTAGGGTTCCCTGTAAAAAGGCGTCGATGCTTGTTGGGAATTAAAATAAAATGTTTATGTCCCGTAAAGTACAGTGTAGGAGGAAGTGAATGGTGGGTTGCATGTGCTACCGTTATACACCCGTACGACTCCATGGAGCTGGAGGGGACTGGGATATGTGCCTAGGGTATATTTTCCAGCTCACCCCGTCGCCACAGCCCTTCCCGTTGTGATCTCGTGACGCCGTTCTTCTGGCGGAGGGGCTGGCCGTTATAACACATTCCGACATTCGTGGCTTTCAGGGGCAGAGCACAGTCGCA